GAGAGAGAGAGAGAGAGAGAGAGAGAGAGAGAGAGAGAGAGAGAGAGAGAGACAGAGACAGAGAGAGAGAGAGAGAGAGAGAGAGAGAGACAGAGAGACAGAGAGACAGACAGAGAGAGAGAGAGCTCAATACCCTGTCTTGCTGTTTGCTACGCCCGTCTACTTGACCTGTACGCGAGAGTTTTTGCACTTGGCTTGGGGTCTTCCCCACCGTAAGTGCTACATGCCAACGTGTTCTTTTCCAGGACTACAAATTAAATGACGTGGAAACTCGCTCGCCTGCCAGACATTGAGTACGTACTATATATAATTATATTGGTCGTGGACTGACCAGTTCCACAACTGGCTAGGCTTCCTATTGAGCTCCATCAGCAAAGAGCTCTTGGACACACGTTCTACTGCCTGTGTCTGTGATGTCGCCACTTCATTATAGGTGACGGAGTGCCCGTGACAATGCAGCGGCGGGACCGATAGATTAACCCACTAATCTCCAAGTTGATCCCCTACCGGTCGCTCATCCTGCTTCTCTCCAAGTAGCTCGCTGATGTCGAACGACCGCCCGCCCTGTTGTTGACGCCTGGTTAATTCAGCTTAGGGCATGCTCACACTGCGACTTTCTGAACTGGATCTGCCTGCATTCGCCGCCAGATGCTCCAGAAAAGCTTTAGTACGAGTAATATGCCCTTAGCACTTCTTCCAGATAAAACGGTAGATCTGCTTGAGGCGCAGATCCTGAGAATCGACGGTGATCAAGCCCACAGCTTTGCTCCCGGGTGGAGGCTTCACACTTGCCTCGGAAACGAGATTGAGTATCGCCGGCGGAACGCCACACTCTTGATAGACGACGGTGCCAAACTTGTCGGTGAACTCAAAGTTGCCGTCCACGGGAGGACGCAGTTCGTGCTTTGATCTGACTGTCCCTGGGATACCTGAGAAGTAGTACGAGGCTGCCAGTCTACCCGTGACTCCTGGCTCGAGCTGGGCGTACCCTCGGTATGTCACAGTCGCCAGAGTAAACGTGAACCCAGAAGGATATTCCACAGCGACGGCTACTTGACAGTTTTTCCGCCGATCGGCTGGACTTCCTGGGGTGAACGCCGTGTACTTGCTGAAAATGATAGTGAGCGTCTGTCCGTCGGAGGAGATGACGCCCTCGGTACTTCCAGGCGGGCAGCCAGTGCCGGCATACGTGACGACGGTGATCTTTACCGTACTAGCTGGCGGACTTTGAGCAAGTCCAGGAACGGCAAGCTGGAGAAGCCCCAGCAACAGCAGGATGACCATCACCGCCATCGTACACACCTCGGACTGGAAAACCCTGTGCCTTGTCTTCTTCGTCTTCAGTTTTCGCCTCACCTTGCTCTCGTCTCCGCGCGCCCTCCAACAACAGATGAGCAGTTCCGGCAATGGCAGCAGAATAACACACCCCCACTTCGCCGCTCCCGGAGCTGGTCGCCTGGAGTCTCCCGGTCCCTCTCCTCGGCTGAAATGCCGTGGAAGAAGAGATAGCGGACACCACTTCCCGCAGCTCCCGCCCGTGGCCCCCAAAGACCACCACGATCACTAAGCAGATCGTAGCGCACTGTATTGAGAGTGCCCGTTAATGCACCTTTATACACAGCCGGAGATGAGGTCTGCCTGTGTCCGCCGAGCACAACGCATCACGATCACAAAAAGGCATGCAACTGCTGTGAAGTCAGGTAACTTTCCGGCAGACTCCTTGTGAGGGTATGTGCCGTTCGCGGAGGAAAGCAGCGTACAGGCGTACCATGTGGCAGTGTGGAGAAGACATGGCCATCAAATAAGTTTACCGGAAGAAAAACCGGAAAGCCGGCCCAGTTCCACGTGTCGGGTTTCGGAAAGAGAAAAAGGAGGAAGGTTGGGCCTCGCTCCACCACTCTCGACATGCACAAATGACAGAAATCGTCCTTCGGGACATCCGTTAAAATTGGATATGCATGGCCCCTGCGCAAGGATGACACGCATAAATCGAGAAATGGTCCAAATTTTTTATGTCTATTTGGTCTATACGCGAGCCTGACATGAACTGCATTTTCTGAGCCAGCGCTTGACAGAAAATCATGGCGGGTCCGTCGGGATATGCATACAGAGAAGTTCTTTTTTTTTTTAATTTTTTTTGAGAAGTCGTCCCTTTTATATTTCAAAATGTGGTCGAGGCCGGGGTCCTCACAATTCAACCCGGAGGGAAACTGGCACCATGCTGAAAACCGGGTCCAGCGTCCCAATACCACTATACTTCTTGATCGAAAAATAGTTTTATCTAAAGCTGGAAACCAGGTACAGCGTCCTTAAACCACTCTATTCTCAATCAAGGATAACAACTTCTCAAAAAAATCAACTTGAAGCTCAGTAAAGGTAACCGAACCTGCAATAGAAATATCCTTTCCAAACTTTCAGTACGGTTAAAATTCCAGAAACGATTCGACCCTTGCTGTACCAGGCAGTATAGCCTGTAATGTCCTTTCTGCTGCTGAGGCCAACGGCTCTGTTCTAATGATAAACAGAGGGGCAACTTCCTTCGGTCAGTTTTACTCAATCCAAAAGCACAGTGTCCCTTCGGTCTCTTTTTACGGCGGCTTTAGCAACTGAGCAAAGGAGAGCTTTCGGTCTGTCGAGACTGAGACAAAACTGTTCTCTTTAGCCCATGTGCGCATGAACCACAGAAGGCCTTTCCTCTTACTTCTATGGCAGCCCTGCCAGTCAGCTAATATAGATCGCCTAATATTCCCTTTTATCTGGTGCTGTTGCTCCTGGACCACAATCTTCTTACCCCTGAACACCTGGGCATTCCTCGCCCTCCAAAATACAGAGAATATTAGCATGGCCCCTGGGCAAGGATGGGCGACATGTGCATGTCTAGAGTAGTGGAGCGAGGCCCGATGACACACATAAATCGAGAAATGGCTCAAAAATCATGGCGGTGTGTCTCTCCAAGTTGTAGCGGAAGATTCACCCCTCGTTTTACACATTTCGGGAGTGATGGAGCGAGGCCCTTCCTCTCGCACCGCTGCTGTGGTGCAAACCTACCCCGTGGCGTGGGGAGAGTTCCAGGTTTGGTTGGTCTTCCCCCGTACTATACATATAGGGCGTCGCCGCAAGGCGCACGAAAAGTGCATCTTCCGGCAGAAAATGGCCAGGTTCGTCAGTTTTCTATACATAGTAACGAGTGTATTTTTCCACCTCTCGTGGGCAGATGCACTCGTCTCGTTTTCGTTTCGTGTGCCGAGGCCCATAGAGTGGCGAGAGGATGAGATAGAATATATACAAAAAAAAAAAAGCCTCTTTTGCTCCTCTCCCCTGTCGGAGACCATCTTATGGTCTTCCCGTCCACGTGCAGATCATGCACCTGCCTGTTGTCTGGCAGCAGGAACATACTCCTTCTAAAAGAGACTAGTTGTTTTTTTCTGTTCTTTTTGTTTTATTTTTGAAAGTAGCCCTGAGAGAGGCCTCAGGGGCTGAGGGGCCAAGTCCCACTACCGGGGGGTTACTTCAGAATCAGAGTACAGTGTAACATGAGTGACACCCTTGGATCTCACAGATTCCACGTCCAGACACAGGGGGCTCAGCATTTTTTTTTTTTTTTTTTTCTCTCCTTGCCTTCTCCTCATCGGGGGACAGCCATATATTTTCTCTCACCTCACATATCTTTCTCTTCACTGCCTACCACCTGCAAGCATCGCTTTTTACGTCTCTACGGTGAAGGGAGGTTACCTCTCTCAGTCGTTGGAGAGGGGTAAGGGCATGTTTGCCCTTTTGCCCAAGCTTTTTAGGGTGCAGGGTTGGGGCAGCCGGTGGGGGCCCGGCTAACACAAGGACAGAGCATTTGCCAGTAACTGTGCCTCCCTTTTCATCTTCCCCCACCCCCATCGAGTAACAGTTGTGTCTAAAGCCAACACTCTCCCACACACCACACTCAACCCACTCACACATGCACTCACACCCATGTTGGCTGAAGACTTTACTGATACCGACTGGGAGGATCCAGCTGACTATCTCAGTTGGTTGGCACCAAGAGTGCTATAGGCGGCCATGGGGATTGAACCCTTGACCTCCTGAATGCCGCTTGCGTGCCTAACCAATTGAGCTAGGCCGCTGTACAAAACTCAAAAAAAAAAAAAAAAAAAAAAGCATAGCCTAGCAGTCCCTGTGCCTGCGATGTTCCAAGTTCAATGGATTTGGACTCGAATCATCAGGCTAGAACGGCTCAACCCTTACGACAGCAAACTTCAAAAGTACTGGTGGTTTAAAACAGGGTACCCTAACCTTTAAAGCACCGTACGTGTATTCGGACTCAAATACAACGCACGGCATTGGCGTGGGCGCCATTTTGGTCCGTGCATTGTCACTGCCATGTGCATTCGTTGTAATTTCTTCTGGCAGATATTTTACGTGCGTGCTCAGAGGTTACTCATTTGTTTGTTTGTGTGTGTGTGTGTGTGTGTGTGTGTGTGTGTGTGTGTGTGTGTGTGTGTGTGTGTGTGTGTGTGTGTGTGTGTGTGTGTGTGT